AAGGACAGGAAGGCCTGATGCAATATGGTTCATGGGGTCACGAAGAGTCGGACACGACTTAACGACTAAACAACAACAAGCTGTGTGCATCTAGGCCTAGTTTAAATGCACTAAGTGCACGCTCATAATCCATTGTTAAGAATGTCTCACTGGAAAAGCCAAGATGCTGGAGTTCTGTGAAACTGGATCCTGGTTCATACTCATTCATAACTGTCCTCAGTAAAGAAAGAACTGAAGCCTGTGGGGAAAAATAGTAACTTCAGCTAGTGTGCTATGATGCAGGTCCATGCACTTGTTTTGGCTTTCTGTACCCTAATCCTCGAACCTGGTGAAGTTTAGAAACCTCCTATACCTTCATTTTCAACCCACAATCTTTCATTCACTACTACTCTTAAATATCAAACAATATAATTTAAAATTTGCCCTGCACTGCAGCCCTTCTCAGTTCCTCACACTTGCTAGCATCCTTTATTACTGCAGAAATCACAATAAAAAACTTGCTGCAAGCTCAAAGAGAGCAGGGAAGGACAGGTTTCCTTATTACTGGGTTGTCTGTGGCAACAAATGCCTAAGATGACAAAGTGATTTTTTTTAAGTTATTTTTTTTTGTACTTGCCAGATTAATTTGCATAAAAGGAGTGCTTTAATATGCTATTTACAATGATCACTTACAAAATGAAATGGCAAGTCCTATTCAGTTTTTGAGTTTCCAAATATTAATGTTATTTCAACATACATAATTATTTCTCCTTCTTTTGAGCACTGATTTGAATTCTATTACTTTATTCGATTACACACGAACTGGAGGAGAACTAGAGTGGAATAGAACCTACATTTGTGTCCATTGGAATGAATTTGCAAGACCTAAGTTTAATTTGATTCTGCCATTTGCCAGGTTACATATGTAACCTTCTACTAATGCTATAGAAGGTTTCTAAACTTCACCAGGGCGAAGGATTAGGGTACCGAATCTTAAATTGTACTTTGCTGCATGTTGTTTTGTATGGATGAAGAAGTGGATATTGTTAAGAAATAAAAGAATATTGGAGCTGGAAGGTCACAATCTGAGGTTTAGGTGACCTGGTTTCTTTATGGTATGAAAGTAATGTAGATTTTAAGAATCATTACCTGAGAAATACGTTACTAAGAATATGGAATAAATATAAACCAAGTCTGTGTCCAAAGATATCATTCTTGACATCCACACAAGAAGCTGTCTACAGAAGAGAAACAGCAGAAAGAAAGATGGTTAACATATGAGGATCTATTAATTTTAAGAATCATTACCTGAGAAATACGTTACTAAGAATATGGAATAAATATAAACCAAGTCTGTGTCCAAAGATATCATTCTTGACATCCACACAAGAAGCTGTCTACAGAAGAGAAACAGCAGAAAGAAAGATGGTTAACATATGAGGATCTATTAATACAAGATAAGGGAGAAATTAAGATGAAGACAAGGGAACAAGTAGCAACTGAAGGATATTCTTTTCAATGGTTTTCTTATAATCAAATGAAAGAGAGGTTTAACATAGACAAAAGGAACTGCGAAGAGGAAAACTGATTTTGAAGTAAAGTTATGTATATATGATGATCACATAATAGCTAAAATGTATACATTGTTATTAAGATTTGAAACAGGATAAACAGGTTAAAGTCTGTATGGTGAAATGGGCTGCAAATTTTATTTATAATATAAATATGGATATTGGGAGGAACGTGGGAAACTGGTGTTAAATTTACATTGTGTCATAATTTAAGAGAGAACTTTTATAAAATGATCTGTGTATAAAATATGACACCAGTTAAACTATCAAAAATGTAGAAAGGAATTTCAAACCAATGATGGAAGTGTGAAAAGGAAGAGGAAACTTTCTATCATGCGTGGCGGACTTGTGAAAAAGCAAAGAAATTTTGGGTGCAAATTCATACAATGATGAAAAAGATATTGCAGATTAATATTACGATGAAACTGGAATTATTTCTATTGGGTTTTATGGACGATGAACTAGAAAAGAAATATGGGAAATGAATATTGTATATGGTAACAGCAGCAAGATTATTGTACGCACAAAGATGGAAGAATAATAAAATATCCACAGAAGACTGGATTATAAAATTGACGGAGCTTACGGAAATGGCAAAGCTGACCAGTTCGGTCAGGGAAATGACAATAAAGACTTTTTTAAAAGACTGGAAGCCTTACATGGACTTTTATTGAAAGAAGATAAGACTGAACTGATGATTCATGGATTTGGGGATTAAAAAGGGTCAAAGAGGAAGGGGAAAGAATAAGATGGCAATTACTCAATAGAAGGAAGGGCGGAAGTCATAATTCTGTTTTCTTTCTTTTCTTTTTCTTATTTTCTATATTCTTTTTTCCTTATTCTTCTAATTTTGTATGCTTTTATTGTATTGAAAAATTCTAATTAAAAAATATATTAAAAAACTTCACCAGATTCCATTAAATCCCTGTTAAATCCCATGGTCCTAGAAAATTCACAGTTGAACCCCCTCCAAAGTAGAATCAGTAGCAGGATTTATTATTTAAATACAGTCACCTTATGTACATGGCCGTTTCCAAAGAGCTTATAAACTGCAACATAGAGAAATGAGAGAAAAAGACACGAAGGCACGGAGAAGAATTTATTATCATTTCAATTTTACATACTTTCATTTAGGTGTGACAATATGTAAGTATTAAATTGATAATCCAAAGGGCTCCTGAAAATGTGAATTCTGAAGAGGATCTTAAATTAAATTAAATAGACAGTTCCAAGTATAAGGCGCAGCAAGGGAAAATTAATGGAATCACTTCAGATCAAGAGAAGTTTGGATGGCTGAATATGGGGAAGCTTGATGAAGAAAGGCCCCAGTAGGAACATGTCACAATAGAAATATAGAGAAATTGTGACTGGATTCACACCATGATGAATTTTGTTGGGTTTTGACTTAGTTGAAAGTATCCAGAAGTAGACTAGTGGACAGGAAGGGAAATCACCTAGACAGAGTTATAAAACCTTTTGTAGCACATAGCTGCAAGAATTGAATGGATGAAGATGAGACAACTGAGGACTGAAAAGGAAAATACTGTATTAGGCAAGGTGGGAGATACAACCAAGACACATCAGCGTTTCAGTTAAAGAAAGGACATGATTATGTGAGGAGGTGGGAAAGAAGAAGATACAGTTAGGAAAAAATTAGGCAATGTAACTGATCAACAGGATAGATGATGACAACAGTGATGATGATATTAATGGATGAATAAAGCAGAAGATAAAGGTCTGGAACAAAAGAGTAGAAGTTGGACCTTTAACACATTACATGAATATGATTTTAATATTTTTTTTTCTTTGTCAATAAATTCCTCAAGGTTTGGGTGAAAGCATAGTTAATGTGTCTTTATACTTAAAAGTAATTCATTTTGAATTAAAAAAGCAAAACACTTCCAAAATATATACAAGAAAGGAAATATCCCTGACTATTACTTTGGTTTTAACTAACTTTTACTTGGATCATCCATTTATAAATGGGTAAATAATTCCCCAAAAATGTTACTTATCCCATCCTTCAAGCCATGTCCATCAGCTTGCTCCTGAGCTAAGCTCGGCCTTATGTACATTTAACAATTTTAAATGTTAACGAAAAATCCCAAGGAGATTCCATGGAACCAGTATGAGGCTAATAAGTTGGTACTTCCATGGACAGCTGAACTCCAGCAGCCAAATTCCACTGTCTCTGCATATAGTTACACTGACAGCAGGCTTCCTCTGCTTAAAGGCAGTCTGCTTGTCTAATGGGTATTTTACCATATACCTGGAGGCTAGTTCCCTGCAGAGGTTCACACAATAAGCCAGAATTGTATGACTGTTAATGCAAGTTATTGCAAGTAAATTATTGGAAGAGAAATCACATGAGACAGTCTTGGGATATAAAACGGAAAGTGTTCCCCTGCACCAAAACATTAGTTTGTGATCCTTCTTTCCATTCTACCATTTCCACCTGATTTTTCTTATTGCATTTTCTCTCATTTAGACAGAATTCCACTTGAGGTCATGCCCACATCCCATTCCGAAACATGCTTGAGGATCAAATGTTATATTTTAATTAAAAACTCTGGGTGAAAGCATGGTTAGCTTGTTTTATAAGAAAAAGTAAAACTTTTTGAATTAAAAATTGAGCGATCTCAATCACCCAAAGTAGCTACCAAGTGGAATAAATTAAGACCAACTACATTATATCTAAAAACCAATAGCAATGTGCTGTTTCATTATTTTAATAAATATTTTTTTTCAATTTTAACCTCCAAGTTCTTGATGCTACACAAAATATATCACTGGAATGCTTTCTATTTATACTTTTAAACATTTTTGGAAACCGCTCATTCTTTGCTTTCACCTACCTGTGAAATTCAATGTGTTTATTAATTCATAACATCGGTCCTGTATAGCGATGAGAGGTCTCTCCCTTTTGCCAGTACCTATTCCAATTCTGTTGGGGGAAAAAACTGCACTTACTCTTCTATTCAAAATATCTGCAATCTGTCAGAGCTTCAAGTTGTGAAATAGTCACCATCTGCTTGTCTAGGATAATGCCCAACACTAAAGGTTACAACATTCCAGTTCTGGAAAACTGTACATTCAACCTGATGCACCCAAAACAGAGAGGGGGTGACAACAGCACACACACACCATTTGAAATATATTTGAAAACATCAATCTCAAAAGAAATAAGACAATCCTTTCTCAGGCTTTCTCTGAAGTATTGAATAGACCCTATCATCTTCTACCAGTGGGGAGGATGGGAGTGGTTAATTAACACATCTGGATGGCATCTGGTTGTAAACAAAATTAATTTAAATATTCTAGCATCTATACTACAGCCACTATGGTCTACTGGTCAAAGGGATCAGGCTAAAAGCTAGGAGAAACTGAGTTCTAGTCTTGCCTTCAGCACAAAGCCAGCTGGGTGACCTTGGGCCAGTCACTCTGTCTCAGCTCTAGGAAGAAGGCAAAGGCAACCCACTTCTGGAATCTTGCCAAGAAAACTGCAGGGACTTGCCCATGTAGTTGCCAGGTGTAAAGACTAACTCAAAGGCACACACAAAAAAGGATCTATACTGGATTAGTCAAGTTACATTCATATGAAGGAAAACATAATATTATGCATATCATTTAAACATTATTTTGAAAGGAACCATACATTCCTCTGTTTATCCATACATTCCACATGAAGAATGAAAGAATACAACTACATTTGCAACTACATTTCTTTCTGCTTGGAATGCCAAGAATACTGCTTTAATATCTTTCTTCCTTTTTAAAGATCTTTCCTCAAAAGGAAGGAATCAGTTTAAGAAGGATTCAAGATAAGAGGAGCAACTGCATAGAAGCACCATAAGTATGTTCAGAGGATTGGAAACAGTCCTTAGAGGAGAGATTGCAGGAAATGCTTTTCCCATACACCTCTGAAGTGTTCACTCTTTGTTTATTCACATTTATCCCTTGTACTCATTTTTTTCTCCCAGCCAATTTCCTTCCAAAGGCCTCTCTATTTTCACACCCAGATCATCACAACACACAGAGTTGATACCACCCCACTGGTCAAATTTAGATGGTAACCTCTAGGGTGAAAGATGAACCTTGTTTTGCTTCCTTTGCTCTGCCAACTACATACATTGGTGGCCCTTCATAACAAAGCAAGGCTTAGGCAGGCTTATATCCTCTCCATCTCTTCCTCTCTTCTTGCCTTGTATAATTTGCTGCCAGGAATTTTTTTTTTGAATTATAAAACTTCTTTTCAAGAAGCAATTGCTTCTGGAAAAACAAAATAAATGCTTTTGTTTAAAATGAAATCCAAATGGAATGTGAACATCTTGCAGGATATATTCTGGCCCTAAACTAAGTCATAACCTTCTATCAAAGGTGTTACATTCTTCACACTCTAGAAAGCAGAACCTGAATTAAACTAAGAGCAGTGAAACTTTTTCTGTGAAGGGCCACACTTACTCTGGGGGTTAATTTGCTGGTAATGGGAAGAATCCAAGTCAGAAATACTTACTAAGCAACAGTTTGTCTCAGCAGCTGGCAGCAACTAGCTCACCTTCCTGCAGGTTAAATCTGATGAGCACTTGGATGAGAAACCTTCAAGGAATACCAGTTCTGTAGGTTTGACTGGCAAGTCGAAAAACATCCTGGAAGAAGGCAACTGTCAAACACTTTCATACTGCTGCCTAGAAATCTATGTGGATGTATTCATGAAAGCAACTAGGAATTAAGTTCAACTTGAAGGAGATTCTAACTCCCTGGATTTAAAGGTAACAGGAAATATGGATAACCTAAAAAATGGGAATTAAGGCTTCAGATTACTGGGAAGTAAAAAAAAACAAAAAACAACTCTCAGAAGAAGGCAATAGCAAACAACTTCTGAACTGCTGCCAGTACAGAAAAGTACATGGAAGCAGTCACCATGACTCCAGCTCGACACCAGAGTATCTTCACTTTAACATTAAAAAAAAAAGGAAGAGATGGGTGAGGGAGAGCACAAGCCAGATACATCATGGTTTGTAAACACTGTGGGAAAGCATGGTTTTTCATTACAACCAAACCAGCCAAAGAGTCCTGTGCTACCTTTAGCCCCAACTAATTGGGTATGAAATTTTGGAGATCAGACCAAACACCAACAGATGAGCCAAGTTGACAGAGATCAAGAAAAATACACACGTCTCACTAAATGAAATATTAAGATTACACATAGCCTAAGTATGCATTAAAGTGGCAAATATTACCATGAAATTCCATTTAGCCCAATTTCACAAGGCAAAAGACATAAGGCATACTTTGATGGCCAAAATATAATCTGTATTTGTCTCAGCACTGAAATAGCACTTAAATGCACCAGAGTTTAGCAAAGTATCTTAGCCCTGGCACATAAAAATCTTTTGAATTGCTGAGCTGGACACACAGAAATAATCTCAAATGTTTAAATCTGCCTTTCATACTTGACGGTCTCCAAATGTGTACCACCAACTCCTACCATTCCCAAACAATGCAGCCATTGGTAGCAAAGACTGGAGTAAAGCATGTTCTGAAGAGGTGAAAAAGAGGTGGCTTGTGCTTTTTAAATAATGGCATGAAGGAGGGAATTTTAGCAAATATAAATTATGATATGCTGCACCAGGCAACCCTTTTTCCTTTAAGGATTGTATTTCTGCAGAGATAATCTGTTGAGAGATTACACATACTGGATGAAACCAGAACCCAAAGTGGGTTGAAGCAAGTGGTGGAGTGAACATTCATAAGCTCTCTTAATACATGCATTCCTTTTACAATTTTCTTTCCCTAGCATTCCTCTGAGTATGATTTAGAGTTGTAACTTCCATTTAAGAATTCCGAAAACTTGCAAATTTCAACACTGAAGTACAAAACTGAGTAGGTTCACATAAAACAAGAGTTCAGAAGTGGAGTGGGCAACCTTTTTTGTGGCCAGGGACAGAACTCAACTTTTTGTGGGGGCAGGGGGGACCTGAGTGCCATAGTAGCTGGGACAATAGGCTGATTTTTCCCCAGTTGGTTCTTGGAGGGGAAAGGATAAAAAAAAAAAATCCGTTAAGCCTGTGGTAAGACTTTCACTACAATTTTCATATATATTCTGCCTAAAATGGTGAAAAACGTTGTCATCACTTTCATGCAACAATGGTCAGAAGAGGCTCTACAGTTACAAAGAAGGGAGCAGGGGCCACAGGTTGCCCACCAACAGCTTAAAAGAATACTTCTTCCATAAGTCTATACATATTTAGGAAGCAGTTTCCAGAATTCAGTGGGGCGTACTTCTGGGTAAACATGCACAGGATTGCAGTACTGTTATTATTTCAACCATATGACATCAACTTGTATGGTTACATAATACCTATATGGTCAATTGCCAACTGGTTCAGCAGGAAACAGCCTTGGAGCTCCGGGAGCACATCAGCCAGATTGTGAAATGTCCAACCGTGGAGATTTGTTACCTCTTTCTAGAAGTGCCTTAGAGTTTTCTCCAGCCTTTTTTTTTGGGGGGGGGGCAGGCCTTTATTTAGAACAGTGTCTCTCAAACTTGACAACTTTCAGACACTTGGATTTCACTGCTGTA